TTGAAAAACTAAAACAATTCGAATTCGTTTAAATAAAATATATTTGAATACTGTTTATTCGCAAAAATCAGTGAATAATGGCCTATAAACATCACGGGGGCGTTCGAAATAACTTCCAATTAGTCTTGCGTAGATTTTATTTTCACATTTTTATTTCCGAGTATTCCATAGTTTTATTTTATTTCATCTTAATACTTTTTTGAATGTTGTGTTTATTATTTTGACATAGACATTTTTAATTATCTGTAACGTACTTAAAAAGTCTTTCAAATAATCCCATGAAAATAAAATAATCGGTGTGAAGTCTGCGGATCTAGACGGCCAAGAACTTATTGCCCATCCATCTTTTGAAAAGCTCTCAGATATGTCATTGTCGACTGATTAATATAAAAAAAACAGCATCTAAATCGAATTAAATTTGAACGAATGCGAGTCGTTTTAGTTTCTCTTGACGCTGTGAATGTAATTTAGGTACTTTTGGGTTTTTTCGACTGTCTTATTTATCTGATATACCATTCAATACTATTTTCTTGAATTTGTGTTAAATTATTACCATCGATAAGTGATGAAAAGTATAGAACAGTATTGTATTTAATAACGAGAATGTATTTTGAATACATTTTTGTCATATAAAATATTAAATTCACTCTAAGTTTTCACGCAAAAAATTATATAAAAATGAATATTTTAAATTGTAATTGAATACTAAATAAATAGTAGAAACTATATTATTGAATGCTTAAATTAATTAGCATTATCTTATCAATGAACGAAATTTATTTTATGTATTGTAGAGTTCACCTACATTTATATAGTAAATCGATTTTTTTAAAAATGTATTTCTTACAAAATTAACACACCCATATAAAACCATAATTACAGTTTAATCAGATCAAATCTTAATATTCAAAACCTTTTATTACGTCATGAACTATCAGCCATAACTTTTATTTATAAATTAATCAATGTATATATAACTTCGGCCCGTTTTTATTCATTTTTTTAATACAATTTTATTATTATTATTATCTATTTAAATCCATATAATAATACATATAACAGTATAACCACAGCTGTCATTTCAAGTCTCAATAGTATTCATGTTTTACACACTTCAACCCATAAAAGTAATGATTTTCATACATTCGATATAATATAAAAATATTTTATGATTTATTTATAAATCACATCCTTAAATAAAAATAAATAAGGTATTTATCTTTAATTTATTAAAAAAATAAAATATAATATACAGACAACATTTCAGCGTATAATATATACTCGTTTATAAGTTTTTTAAGAGTTTTTAATTTAAATATTTATATTTCTTTTGAACAATAAAACTGTTTTTGCTCAGTTAAGGAAAAACAAATAAAATGATAAGTATTAAAACAATTGTAACCATAGAAGAGTTATCTTAGTTTACGTCATAATTGTATTCCAGAAATAAAAACTAAGTAAGTTTATAAGAGCAATTAACATAGATAATTTTTATTCTTAAATAAAATTTAAGATATTAATTATGCCTCAACCAACTATATGTCAGTCAATTAAATAAAATGTTATACATTTTTTCTTAATTTAGTTATTTCAATTTCAATTATATATGTGTTATAAGACTAAAAATGTAATTAATTCACAAATACAAAGCTCATCATTACTAATTTAAGTATTTTCAAGAATATGTACACAGAATATTGTTTCGGTTTAAAAAAATATTGCGAATCACTGACACACCCACGGTTTGGTAAAAGATTTACTTTAGTTTTCATTGTGTTTTTGAACTATTAAACGTACACATTTAATTTAAATTGAATAAATATAGCATATAAATAGCTCATTTCGTTCGAAATTTACAATTATAAATGTAATATTAATATAAGTATAAAATACACTTTTATTGTTAAATAACTCGATTGTAACAGTTGTTATAAAATTAAAACAGTTTATTAAGCTTATTGGATTTTTACTTTATTTTTAAACACATAAAAGCCGAAACAATTCCTTATTATTTTGATTGTCTTAAGCGCCTAACCAAAGTTTTTATTAATTTAATCCTTTGATTAAACTTCGTCCATTATTGCAGAATAGTAGTTTAAAATTCAATCATTTATTTAAAATAAATTATCTATTTCTCCATTATAAAATTTATAATTAAATATTTTTTTTATTTTATGAGGAAATTACATTGGAATCTATATCAGATTTAAAAATAATTAAAATAATAATGGAAAAAGTTTTTTTAATTTTTAAATAAGATAAACCTTCTGATTTTTAATCTATTAAACATGGAGAAATGTATATACAATGTTGATTATATAATCAATTGCATCAAATTCCATATATGTAAGTATTATATGATACTATAATATTAATTTGTAGATTTTAAGTTGCATAATATTGAGTACATATGTTACATGATAAATTTGAATTGACGCCTAATAAGTGAAATGCTTAATACTATGATTCCAATTAATATATTTGTTTTAATCAAATAATTTCGATCTAATGAAAAGAATAATATGTCGATGCAAGTCGTTGAATTAATATTTAAACCTATATTAGAAATAATTACGTAATATAATCAGTACTTCATATACTTTTTTCAAATATAATCAACTACCATTTATTATATAATATGCAAATTATTTAATATATTGATTAGCTTTAACTTATAACTTACAAATGTAAATTTCGAACTATGAATAATTTTACGCATATAAGCCCATCAAATCTTATTTTATATAATTTGATTAAACGTTTAATAAAAACGACAAATTATATTTTCTTATAATAATTGTACGTATTGCAAACAAATCAACTAAAAATAAAAACGTGATCATCCAGTTAATCCATTAAGTGTTATTTTTTTTTACAAACTATTAATCGCTCTAATAATTTTATCTCAAAATTATATTTTATTCAATTTTCATTAATAGAACAAAAAATTCTGATCAATACAATTTCACAACGTTTAAAAAGATAAATTATTTAAAAAGCACATATATATTTGATTATCTGTAAAATTAATAAATTGTGATTAAATAGAACGCCCGTGAAATATTACTTTTTAATTATTAAAATTAATATTTTTTCAAATGAACATCCCAAAATAAAAATAATTTAATGTTGAAAAATTTAAGAGATTAATAGACCGATTTCAAGTTTGAAATGAAATGAAAACACTTAAATGTAGGCACTTTGTTAACAGATAAAAGAAGCCAATCGCAAAAAACAAAGAGTAAGCCAAAAAAATATTCCATTAAAGCGTAATTTTTTGCCAGCCTTTTTATTTCCCAAGAATGTACTAAAAGTTTGCAGTTTGTTGTTTTACGGTAACGCATTCACTCGTAAATCTATTCATTCAGGTAAACTTTTATCAATACCCGCCAACATTTTATTAACTGGGTTAGTAGTGCATTAAACAAACAATCAAATGTGGGTCATCAAATGGAAAATTCTCGTCTCTTACATCATACACGTTAAGAATATGTTTCCTCCGTTGTTTTCCGAACGAATATCGAAATACTCTAGGTGTAGTAATTACAATAAAACGTGTAAAATAATCGTATCCAGACATACTCAACTCGAGGGATTACCATAAAAGTTGACGACGATATCGGTCTGGTCTGTTATGCCCGTGTCCGAGTCGCTTAATAACATGATAACCGAACAGAAGCGAACATAGGAAGTTTTTACTTTGTACGATGATCGTTGCACGTGACATACGTGTGACGAGCAATAGAGAAAGATTACTAGATTGATTAATTACGCGTGAGCCCATCGGTCGATGTAAAGTCGCAGAGATGACCGTAGCGATGGAAATCTCTATCGCGTTCAAACGACTCTTTAAAATCCGGAGTTTGAAATCGTTAAAATTATTGCACTTCTTCTTAATAACAATCCCAAATCCACCGATTGGCGTCGCATAATTATATTCGCGCACAAGGCCGTAACTGGAAAAACATTTCGGGGGGGGGGGGGGGGACTAACATTATTATTTAATACAATTTATAGTTAATAAACTATATTCAACGCTAAAATGTTTCTACTTTCGAAAATTTCGGGGGGGACCGGACCCTTGGACCCCCCCCAGTAACGGATTTTTTCGCGCATATCACAGCATCTGGGAATTTGTCTTGGTGAGACGCGTAACAGTGATATTATAATGAACTACAGCGTGATAACCTTTGCCCGTTGTACGGAGACACGATTTATGATCCACGAAAGATCTAAAGAATGTTTGCATTGGGAAATGCGTCCAGGACGATAATGTTTAAGGACATATGTGAACGTGCGTCCGACGTTGACTCACCATCGAATTCCACACTGCAAGCAAAACTAAAAACATTCCTTCGGTCTGATCAATTCGTAGGGGCGTATTTTAGGGGGGGCAGTGAAGGGACATTTGTATCCATATTTAAGGAATCGATCGTATGTAAGATACACATTTCAAATTTTTTCAATGTGGATCATTTTATAACGAAATCAAATGACGCGTGGCGGTGAATACCGAATTGAGCTTTTTGTCGGGTCCATACATAGTGAAAAATCAAATAAAACACAAACGTAACTTTTAAAATACAGACAGGTGTTAGAAAAGAACTACACAAAAGTTGATTCTAGGTGGTTCCGGATTAAAAAAAAAAAAAACACAAATATTAGTTTATACATGTTTTTGTCTTTTACACACATGTTATTCTAATATTTGTTAAAATCTTGTAAAAAAAAGGGTATTACCCGTTAAAACACAAATAAATAAATAAATAAATAAATCTGGATTCGCCAGATTTAAATACTACCAAAAATTATACTCGTAAATGTTAAGCCTGAATTAAAGAGTCGCCCCCTTCCCTAGAAGTAAGTTTAAATGCGTCCCTGTTACTTCGGAGGAACGAAACCCGACCCGTCGTGTTCGTCGCGTGACGATACGTTTCACCCGTCGGTTCGGGAGCGTTCAAACATGCCGACCAGTAAACAAAACGAGCGCGCGCGTATACCTGTGTGGCGGATCGTAGACGATGATCGATGAAGTCGGCAGTGGATCGCGGTGCCGATCTACTGGTCGCGCGGTCCGCTGCGGTCCGGTCTAGTCCGGTCGCCCGTCGTCGCAACAGCTGCGGCCCCGGTCGTCGCGTTCGTCTCCGGTGACGCCGCCGCGTCCATAACCACGCGCGCCGTCTGTCGCGGCCCACCGACCGCGTGCGGAGGACGCGTTACGCTGCGCGATGCGGTTTGCGTGGCCCGTCGGATGCGCGCGTTCTGTCGCGTACCGGTGCAATGCGTGTCGCGCGTTATTACGGGTGCCGCGGCGACGCGTTCGCTACGACCACGGTTGTTGGTGCACGGTTATCGCGAGCGCGTAGCATACCGTCCGCGTGAACGCAAACGCACAAGCCGCGGTGCCGTTTCAAAACACAACACTGCGCGCGAGACGTATCTTCGACGCTCGCACGCGCGCGCGATATTTAAAACGGGGGGGAAAAAAATAATAATAATAATAATAATAATAATAATAATAATAATAGTAATAGTACTCGATCGCGGTGGTGGAGACGGTCGTGGCGGTGGTCGTCGTCCTCGGTCGGTTTTCCGACCGAATTTATTCTCCTTCTTTCGCACGCGCTTTCCGCCGTTCACCGTTCGCGTGTAACGAGATCGCGCGCCATCGTGCACGCGCGCCCCGGCGTCCGCATGCGCACGGCCGCCCCCGTTCGCCCGCTCATCGGTTGATCAATACAAAGACGTCGGACGGAACGACGGGGGTTGAACGGGAAACCACCCGCCGCACGCGACGACGCCGCCACCGCCCGCGCGATCGACGCGGTTACGGGAACGAGGCGGCGACGTGACGTCACGGCCCCAACGACTGTGTACGAACGGGACGGTAATGGTATCGTAACGATATAATAACGCGCGAGGGTCGCCGAACACTCACCCGCCCTACCGCCCACTACCCGCCGGTACGACGTCCGCGCGCGTAGTAGTCGAAACGGGAGATTTTCCACTACCATTAATGGCGGCGATCAAATTTTACCGCCGTATCACGCGGAAATCGCATTACCGGCGGCGTTAAGAGGAAAGGACGAGAACGAACGGATAAAGTGTTTTTCATTTTTCTTAGCAGACGCCAGCGCCCACGCCATCCACCTACATCGCATTTCCGTCCTTCCCCTCCAACCCCCGATTGTTTCCACTCGTACGTATATAAGGTGAATGACGACATTTGGTTAATGTCATTTTCTTCTTTGATGTCATTGGTGAATGTTGACATGTACTATCTGTTTTTGGTGAATGTTAGTATTTTGTAATAAAAAAGATGAATAATGATGAAATAATTTTTACTAATTAATTCGTCACTCAAAGGGTTAATAAATTATTGAATTTTATATTATAAATTATTTGTTTCGACAAGATAAACTATTATGACATTTTGAGTTACATAAAAGTTCTAAAGGTTATACAACTACACTTATTCGGTACAATTGCATCTCAAATACCCCTGATATTATCTCCGATAGTATTGTATGGATCATTAAACACCGTTCGATTAAATTATACACTATACAATTATTATGCGTTTCTACTCAAACATAATTTGGCCTTCAGCTGTTGTGTAAACAATATTTATAAACATTCACGATATCTGCGTACGACACGATACACCACACACAAATTGTTGAACGTCTTTGTTCGAAATTTAACTAAAAATTTCCAACATTCACCAAAACTCAATTGCGAATGTCAACGCTCACCGACAATCGTTGACGTTCATCAAATGTCGTCATTCACCTTAACTTACATACATTTGCGTTGTAACCGAGTACAACCGCGCGTCTGCGCTTATTTTCCACGCGCGATCCGATCGAATGTTCGATTCAACTCGTTCGCGCGCGGACAACAATCGCAACGAGCGGTCGGTGTAGGCAACGGGTCCGCGGTCACCGCCGTACATGTACCGAGTTTGCCTATGCACCGCGCCGCGCGTCGACTCACCCTGCGCCGCCGCCACCGACCATGCGTTCAATACGCGCGCCGTCCGCTGCACCGGCCCCATTGACGGTACCGCCCGGGTTAGGTCGTGCACTATTAACGCGGAGACGCCCCGACGGCCCATGCACGCACCCGGATTGTGGTGCGCGGTGCAGGGGGCCCGGACACGTGAGACCCAGACCGGTACGTCGAACGGTTGAATGGGTTTTTCGGGGATTTCCGTTCGGCCGAGACGTAAACCGCTTACGCTTACGACAGAGGTCAGTGGTGTATACGGAAAATATTTTCGGGAGGGGTTACTATGGACAGAGTTAAATTATCACTGCTATCTAAGAATTACTATCAAGACACAATAGGTACTTATCTACATTTAATTTACAAAATGTCCCAAAACGATTCGACGTTTGAACGTAAATTCTAAATAAGCATAAAACCAATGGTATCGGGGAAAAATGTTCTGTTCGTCGTCGGTATCCGATAACCGTTGGCAGAGGCGGCTCATCAGGTTAGGACTTTGAGACTGCATCTCTCCTTAAAAAAAAAACAAAAAGAGCTACCTGTAAATAATGACTATTTAAAAATGTATAGAAATATTTTTATTTTTATTGAAAATATGTTATAGCGTTTTCTATATTTATTGTTATTATAAATTTAAGGCCGTAAAATATAAAATCTATAAATAGTTATTTCAACGGAAACACTATTTTTTAGTAATTTCGACGACAGTCGTCGTTCCGGTGAAACTGACTTCCAACAGGTTCAATCGTAACACGTAACGGTTTGACGGAGAGGGTGGGGGGAGAATAATCTGCGGATTATAGACGCTGTTGAAACTGCATTCATGACAATAATCCGTCGTTAGTCGCTGTACAACGTCATCTACGAATTCACAGATAACAAAAATTGCAGAATTGCATTAGTTTACAAAAAAAATTACAATTAAATTAAGTTAAAGATATTAACTAAATATTAAATTAAGTTAAAGATATTAACTAAATATTAAATTAAGTATTAAATGTAATTCATTTGTCTAATAAAAGGGATTTTCTTGTTCGTTGTTGTACGAAGTTTATGTTAAACGATTTAAGATTCCTCAGATTATTTACTACGCGTCGCTACTGACTGTCAGTTGTACGCCGGTCTTATCGACCCCGCGAACGGCATCACGTCCGTTCCAACAGAACGCCCTTTTCATGTTTGGTGTGCCGAGCGCTCGCGGCATACCACACTACCCGTTTCGCAAACCGACCAACGGTTACACGGTGTCGAGAACCGGACCGATGATGTCTCCGATTGATCCATTGGCAGCAGGGCTTAAAGTTTAAAGAAAAATGGCAGAAAGGACTTTAATTCGTAAATCGTTCTCAACGGTCCATATAGTGTCACATAATTACTGGATGATTAATTATAAATAAGCAGTGGCGGTTTTATGGGTGGGCGATAGGTTCCCCTCCCCTTGAGCCGTGTAAAAACTAAAAATATGAATGAGCAAACAGTTCACAGAAAATCGTTTTGATGATAATTTTATGTCAAAACTATTTATTGTTTACAAAAATTTATGCTTCTATAAAAGTTTGACTGTTAATTAAGTTTGAATGAAAATAATTATTGTTTTAATTTTTTTATTGATCTATATTTTTAAGTTATACCATTGTGGTATAAAGTTTATAGAACTTAAAATTACTTCTCATATATCAAGCAATAGGAACAAATAAATAGGATATGTATGCAAACTGTAAGTATATACAAAATATTTTCATCCCCCCCCCTTGTAGCTTCTCAAGAACCGCCACTGTAAATAAGTATATATATATATATACTATGAAGTATTGCCAGTGAACGATTTCTTATATAAACTATTCGAGGGCTGTAAAAATGTATTAGCTTGTGAATTACTTATTGTTTTAATTAATAGATTGTGTACATCTTTAAATGTAATTAAAAAACGTATATATAACTATATGATTAATGGTTTATATTTAATATAAGTTTTGTTTGTATAATACTGTTAAAATGCCTAGCGAAATTAACCCTTGTGTCCTCCCCCCCACTTTAATCCCTGGTCAGCAGGAACGCAAACGAACGTGAACGGAAATCTACTGCGGGACAGTAGGTACGAACTGAATAAAGTACGGTTTAGGTTCCGGCGTACGAATACACGAAAAATTGCACTCAATATCGTCCCGACCTCGTTTTTTTTATTTGAATGATTCCGACTGGGATTGTTTTGAACGTCTGTGGACGAAAAAAATTTATAAACACACCCTCTGACGCACATACACGGTGGACGCTAAACAGACCATACACATTTCAGTGTCGCACCAGATGTCGACGTACCGAGTACGAATGCGTATGGTTAGCCCAACATGGGTTATATACATTATTATGAAACATTCAAATGAATGACAACGGTTAAAACATAAAAAACAATACGTGTCTTTGTTTTTGTTTAGAGTTAAATTTCGACAACGAAAAACTCAACGATTTGCTTTTGTCCTGTAATGATCATTTGTTGCATTAGCATATATATATATATATATATATATATATATAAAAGAAAATAATTATATTACGTACTTTTGGAGCCTAAAACTATCGAAATCCAATCATTTTTCATTGAGAACGGCTTCATTATTGGCGGACTATCATTATTATTACAACTAGTGTTCGGAAGTTATATTATTCAGCATGCTCTCGATTTATAGCAGACCGAGCTAGAAATCCGAGCTACACAATTTTGAGTTTAAAAATTGTTAAAGTTTATTGCTGATATGTTTATTACAAAATTTTTCATTAATGAACACTAAAAAAAAATATTTCATGTACCAATTAGTTGAATGTATAATAAGTGTTACTCACCTTCGTGATTTTAATAAAAATAATACCAAAGCGAACTGTTATTTTAAAATATGACATACATAGATAACTAGTCACGTGTAAATATACGAGTATATACGGTATTTAATTTAAATTGACGTAGTAACTTTCTTCTCGTGTAATAAGTAAAAATAGGTCAAAGACTTTCTTGCTGTATAATAAGTATTAAATCTATATTTATGTTAATTACGTTTTCTTTGATTGTACTTATAAATTGTTATATTTTAATTTAAACAAAACATCAATTCTTACTAATATACATTTCATTGTCTTTTATGGTAAATTATTTAATTATGTTATTAAGTAAACATATTTTTAAACTGATATACACATACTTCATTTATTTGTACTTGTATTTTATGAATATCTATGTATTCTTCTAACATGAGTTAGTATTATGGTATTTAATATTCTGATCAAAACAAAGAGAATATTGTATTAGTTTTTCAACGATTTTTTAATATTTTAATTAATTATTTCTAACAATATTTGAATATATTTTTAAATATTTTCTTACAGCAACTTTTAAAATTGTATAAATTTAACACAAATTTAATTCCAAAGAAATAATTTTCTTAATTCTTTATTAGTTTTATAACCGTACACAAAACCTGAACTTATATTTTAACATTCTTTTCCGCATTTTGATAGAATGAGAAGATTTGTTTTAAATCTATAAAATTGTGTGCAAGGGTTAGTTAGAAAAATATGTTATTTATTAGTTTTATTTTAGAAAT